GTGTCTATAAACAACACGGCATAGTACAGGGAGATTCGCTCGAAAGAGGCCCCGAATATTCTGTAATAATTCTTGCCAGGACGAAGCAACATGCAATGAGCTCCTCAGTATATGGAGCTTCGAACAAGCCGGGATGCCCCTGCGTCAGAGTGATGAGGTAGGCGCCGGACAGCCGTTGAAGTTTAACCTCCGTTTGCAACTTCCGGGTGCAGACCCCCATACGCGTGTAATGTAATCGATTACTCATACATCAAGGTATGTAGCGTATTTTTTTGGTTCAGATTGCTTCAACCTAACTGGAGTTACAACTGAATATTCGGGGCCTCTTTCGAGTGAATCTCCCTCTAGCACGCTACACAACTATGAGCATAGGGAACTCTGGCCTCCTCAATGAGCTTTGCCAGGTTGCTTTTTAACCTCAGGTCTCTCCTCTCGTGCTAAAACTGAACAATGTTTGGTCAAAGGTAGACATTGAGCCTCTAATGACGATTGACACCTCCACCAACCTATGAAGCAGAAAGGAACCAAAGAGGAGGAGACATACAAGACAAACAGGAGATGAGAGAAAGAGAGCAGGTATAAGACAGAGAGACAGAGAGAGAGAGAGAGAGGGGCAAACACTGGACCAGATACCCCCTATCCTGGACATGTAACAACCTGCAACGTCAGCTGTCTGACGGCAAAATCTGCAGTGCGATGCATTCGGCCCCTGACAAGTCAAACAACACGAGTGAGTCTGATCTGATCTGGCATTAGCAGAAGATATCTGTGAGCCAGACTCCTGTTCCATCTATACCTGCTCCTACTGTAAATTCACTTAAGCGTGAACGCATTCAGGCACCAGTATGGACTGAGGACTGTGTGACATGAAGTGCTAGTGACTAGTAGGTAACACTAGTAGAAAAATAAGGGGCTATAAATTATTCATACATGAACATGTTTGTATTTAAGATGCATTTACAAAGAGTTGTTCAGTATGTTTTATGTTGCTTTTCCAATCAGTTAAGCTTAGAGTTTTGCATCCATAAAATGTCATATTGCACAACTGTTACATTGGTTATCGTTTACAGTACATAGTCACTTGTTCATTCACTGGAGGGGACGTGCACCACTGCACTGTCAACTGCATAGTATTTATGTAATTTACTTCTTATTTTTGTACCACACATAATTTTATTGTTTTTAGTATTATATTATCTATCTATCTATCTATCTATCTATCTATGTTTTGATAAGGGTGTGGCAGGGGGTGGGGGGGTATGTGGTGTATTGGAGTGCCATGCCACTAAGGATTCCTGTGTTCATGTATGTAAGATGAGACTGAGTAAAAGAGAAGGGAGCTATACTTGCTGGATTGCCTGTCCATTGTTTTATACCTCTGTACAACACTGGTGAAGCTGTGCTGCTCCCACACTGAGCACAGTTAAGTAGCAAAATATCAAATCTCCCTAGCAGTACCAATAAGCTACATCATCAATGACATTATTGCCACTTTTGCACGGTGCTGTACTGTATGTAAAAAAAAAAAAGTTTTTTTTGTGACATCACAACAACAGTTATTTCAAAATGGGCTGTTTGTGCAGCTTAGTTTCCATGTGTGGACTGGGGAAAGAACAATTATTAACTGAAAATGTTAAAATATAATAAGTCAAACTGTTTTATTCAAATAGTTTTGTTTTGCTGTGATATGGGCCCTTTAAACTTCCACAGACCTGCTCAGTTGAGTGAAATAGATAATAATAGCTATAGCAGGGCATTAGAGTTGTAGAGAATGAGGCAAAAAGCAGTACAGCTCTCCCTGATCTCCCTATGTTCGAGGTGACAAGAGACAAATAAGGTAACCAGCCTGAATGTACCAGAAAAGTTTGTTTCATTAATTTCCATAAGCTCTTCCAGTGTGGTCACCGTCTTTCTTTGACTGAGAGGGTTTTAAAATATTATTCCCTCTTTCCTTTCACATCTTATCACATATTATTAATCCCACATAACTCTTAAAGCGCACAGCCTGACTTTAAAGGGGAACTTTGTCATTCACCTAACAGCAACCATTCGTCAATGGTTTAAATGTGAACAAAATTATTGATTGATCAATCAGTCGTGGTTTGGTGTTAAGTGCGCCTTTCTAGAGAAATTTATCAGGTCAAAATTGTTCACCATTGTAGCACTAGGAACCATAAGTTATTACACAAAACGGTTACAAATGCGTTGCTTGATACCTGATGCGTTGTTTGTGTTAGTTTTGGTATAAAGTTTTGGCCTAAAACATATATTTTTAGTAAAAAATATTACTCCAGGATTACTTCAGTGTTTCCTGTCAAAACCACTTTCTCAACTGAGATCAATGCGCGCCAGCTAACGTGCTTTTGTAGTTACTTCGACCGGGACGGCAGGGAGAAAGCAGCGAGTGGGGAGGGGGCGCAGCGCAAAGCCCGGGTCGAACGTGAGGTGATAGTGGAGCGGCCTCGCTGCGTAACAGGGGGCGGTAGGCCCAGGCGGCGGAGCTCGGGACTCGCTCCTTGCCCTGGTGCCTCTCGTTGCCGGCACCGTCGTCGTCTTCCTCCTCCTCCCGCCGTCACTCGCGACACTCGGGTTACTCGGAGGAGCTCGGGCTTTGCGCTCCTCCCCACTCGCGGCTCTCTCCCTGCCGTCCTGGCCGAGGTTCGTCGCCGCTGGGTGTTCGGGCCCGCCTTCCTGCCGGCTCTCGCGGCCGTCATCGTCGGGGCCCGGGGGGCGGGCGTATGCCACACTAGCCCATAGATATACATATAATAATAATAATAAATATAATATTACATATATATATATATATATATATATATATATATATATATATATATATATATATATATATATACACACATACATACATACATACATATACACACACATGTATGTATGTGTGTGTGTGTTACAGGCGTTCAACACGGCTAATTCCGGTGTTGTACCTGAATCAGTTCCTCCTCAAATTCACGTTCCCTTTGACTAATCAGGTCCTCGGGCGCTGCATTCATTGAACATGCCAAGCTTAGATATACATTCCTAGATGCCGCGTTGTCTTTTGTTCTCTATTGTAAGCTATACGTCTGCGCATCCGCCATGTTGGAGAGATCAAAATCCGCTTGTGAACAGATTCACTTGTACTGAGAGACGATGAGTCTTGGGATTAAATCAGCCACAACTTCCTTATTACTCAACCGATTTTCACCAAATTTGTTTTGTTATAATCCTCAGACACAGATTAATCCAGGCTGCACGGATCTGCTCTCGGTAGCTTTTATTAATTTAATAACTGATCGTGATAATTAGCCATACAGACCAGCAGGAAAATATTCAGTCTTCGAGTTTAGCGTGAGAAACACAGACACATCAGCAGATCCATCAATGTGGGAATCACTTCTAATCTTAATACATATAAAAATAAAATAAACCCCCAAAACACAGTAAGAAGGACGAGGCTGAAGTTAGTGATCTATTCGCCAGCTTCTTGTTTAAGTTTTCCCGTCCCACCTAAAATGGTTCAGCAGTCACTTTCTGGTGCCTGAAGCTGCACCATTTAAGTTGGAACAGGAAAATCCAAACAAGAAGCTGGCAATTAAGACGCTAACTTCAGGTTCGTGTAAGAAGGTGCTAGCGTTAATCTATTATGAATATCTACACAGATTAAGGAATGCTATAATTTACCTAACTACAAAGCTTTAACTATCATTGTAAATAAATAACTACTAGATATAGTTAAGATCCCCTCAATAGGCTATTAAATAAACCACATCAGGTTCTCTGTGCCTCATTAACCACACGACCATATCTACACATAAACATCACACAAACAATCCGCATCACACAAACATGAGCGTGGATCACTGCGTTCCCTCTGTTATATAATCCTATCCCACTTTCTGAGTGTAATATTCCTGAAACAGTGTAATTTTGGACAGTATCTTTCTTAAACTGCCGCTCTGTAATGGTACTGAATGCAGTCCAGCAGCGGTTTTTACCGCCCTAAAATGGCAGCGCCGTTGACGTGCCTGACTGGACCCAAAGCGGCATCTAGGTATGCATATCTATGATGCCAAGCAACACCCAAACTACGAAAAGCGAAAAGGTTCAAAAAAAGGTGTGTATGGCAGCTGTATTGACCCAATCTTCGATGGGTGAGTTTTTGCGAATTTAAAATAATATTTACCACAGAATCTCAGTTATGCCGTGTTATCTTGGGTGAATCTATAATGGAGATTGGGTAAAAACACAGGGCCGTTTAATGTCCTTTGAACCTTTTCGCTTTCCGTACTTCCACTGTCGCTCGGCGTTGTTCAGTGAATGCGTGCGCCTGAGGTCCCTTGCCAAAGGGAACATGAATTTGAGGGGGAACTGAATCGGATACAACACCGGCATCGAAGCAGAAGAACCCAGAGTGACTAGAAATTGACTGTCAACAACAAACTACTTGCTATTCTGCTCACCAGTTTACGGGGCAGGACAGCGAGGTGTGACTGTGGTCTATCGCAGCTCCTCTAATGAGTAACGTTACTCACATAAGCTCTGAGCGCAGCACTGCCAACCCAAACAACACAAACATGTAGAGCAAGAGGTACATGCAGGGCGTTGTAAGGAAAAAATAGTACTCAAAAATATATATTTTTTTCGAATTTAGCACTATTTTACTATTAAATCATGACTTATAAGACACATAGTTCACTGGTCGTTTTTTAATAGCAGATAAAATGGTGATATTTGTAGTGTAGACACACAGACGTCAGGTTCCTATTACTATAATGGTGAACCATTTTGACTCAAAGGCGCTGTTCACACCAAACCACTCTGAATGATTTTGTTTACATCTAAACGGTTGAATGATTAAGCAATTTCGCGAAATCGGTGGAGTTCCCCTTTAGTTCATTCAAGTCTGCCCTACGTAGCGCTCCGCGACCATAGCAACAGCTTCGGCCAGGGACGCCTTCACTGTTGCTATAGTAACATAACAACAAAGCGCCGTTAGCTCTGAGAGTGTAAAACCTGCCGACTCTTAGAACTTTTATCCTTAAAGTTAGAAGAATTGACTCATCAGGTCGTGTAAACAGGGACTCTCCCACGGTTTGTCACGGTGGGCACTCAGCCTTAAATGGTCACTCACTGAAAGCGTCCAGAAACATGGTAAGTTAAGCCGTTGGAGTTATGTTTATGTTTCGGTCACAAACAGGCTCGAGCCAGTGTTGTAAAAAGGCTCTTTATCTGCTCCGCAACACGCTGCGTGGGCACGAGCCAATAAGATAAGAGAGGAGAATTCACGATAAGGATTTATGGGGTTTTTTTTGTTTGTTTCGGTTTGTTTTATAGCCATGCATTTGTACATATAACAACACTAGAGACATTAGTGAACATACTGAGTTCGGATCCAATCATGTGTCATATAATTCTAAATAAATAAAGAGAGAAACAGGAGAAATAAATACATAAATAAACAAATAGAAGAAAAAAAATAAACTGTTTCAAAATTATTTTTTTATTTTTGGAGAAACTAAGGAGAGGCTACAGATATACAAATAATCAATCAATCAGAAAATAAGAAAATAAAATCATTTACCATAATAAAACAAACTAGTACAGAGAAATATCAGTTAATTCAAAGAGACAAAAATACAGTACAAAATTATAAGAAGGACTATTTGCATAAAATGCCAAAATCAGAGACCAAGTTCCAGGTTTTCACAGCTTTCTCATCACAGGAAGAAGATAAGGTTTTCAGTGTTCAGCATCTTTGATAGTGTGGAAAAAGGGGTGTACTTATTTTCACCTTACATTTGTGAATATAAAACTTTGCCAGCTAAATGAGTAGATTACATTAAAAAAAATCTTTTTTTAAATCATTTTGGTAATTTGTAAACCCAAATAAAACATTTTCGAAATAAATTCATTGATGAATTCAATCGATTCATCAACACATTCAGTATAAATAAACTCACAGTATAGATAAAGCTACGAATGTTTCCCCACAGTCTTCGAGTTTGATCACGAAGCCAAAACAGATGAAAAAAGAGTTTCTTATATCAATGGATACCTTAAATCTCGACCCCAAAAGGGGTTTTGCTGGATGAATTTGGTGAAAAAGGGATTTGTTTGTGTTTGTTGTTCGTAGCCTCGCAGCGCGACGTCATCATCCGCGCGACTCTCCTGTGGCGGGAGCAACAGTAGCAGCGGGGCTCGCTCTCGCCGCTATCGGACGCGCGCGCTGACGTCTCAGGTGGACGAGAGCCTTTTTGGAGCACCCAAACAGGTGGGCACGAGTGTTATAAACATCTGTTATAACTGTACTCAAGCTGTAACCCACTTCTAGGGTTCCTTTATCATGTTTTACGGTCAGAAAAACGTCACTGACCTGACCGGCAGAAGCGCTTCAGTACGAGGACCGTTAAACCCCTCCTGCTGCGGGAGCTCCTCTTAGGCCGCGGTCGGTTTGTCAACATTAGATCCCAAAAAAAGAGACAAATGTCACCTAACAAACTGGTGGGGAAGCTCCTTTTAGGCCGTGTTAAGTTTGTTGGGTGGTGTCAGTCTCTGTTTGGGGTCTAAAGTGAAGTGAGGGGGTGGGAGTGGAAGTTTCACCAAAACAGGCCAGGAGCTGAACCAGCAGAAGTGAGTGAAAAATAAAACTCCAAAAACTGGAATAAAAGAGCTCAAATGACACTGAAGACAAGGCACGTTTCTTTCCTCGCTAGTATATTCGAGTACGAGTGAAATTAGTATCATTTGGAAATACAGGAATGTGCAGATAGCTACGACGGTTGCCAGGTACTTTTGATGCAGAGGAGTTCTTGCCAAGTTGAAAAGCAGCCACAGCAGTGGAAAAACGTGAAATGCAACGCGCACATGACCTTACTTTTTCGTGGTGACCTGCAGAGTACATGCCAAAATGGAAAAACAAGCCCTCTATTACAACTTCATTTCCAAAAAAAGTTGGGACGCTGTGCAAAATGTAAATAAAAGCAAAACGCAATGATGTGCAAATCATTTGAAGCCTATATTTCATTGAAAATGCTTCAGAGACAACAAATCAGATGCTGAAGCTGAGAAATTGTATTGTTCTTTGAAAAATATTTGCCCATTTTGAATTTGATGCCAACAACATGTTCCAAAAAAGTTGGGACGGGGGCAACAAAAGGCTGGTAAAGTTGTGTAATGCTAAAAAAACACCTGGTGGTTAATTGGCAACAGGTCAGTAACATGATTGAGTATAAAAGAGCATCTCAGAGAGTCTTTCAGAAGTAAAGATGAGGAGGGGTTCACCACTCTGTGAAAGACTGCACAATTAAATAGTGCAACAATTCAAGAATAAAGTTTCTCAACATAAAACAGCAAAGAATGTTTGCTTTTCATCATCTACAGTACATAATATCATTAAAAGATTCAGAGAATCTGGAGAAATCTCTGTATGTAAGGGACAAGACCAAAAACCAGTATTTGCTGGCCGTGATCTTTGGGCCCTCAGGCGGCACTGCTTTAAAAACAGACATGATTCTGTAGTGGAAATCACTGCAGGGTCTCAGAAACACTTCTGAAAAACACTGTCTATGAACACAGTTCATCACTGCATCCACAAATACTAATTAAAACTCTAAAACGCAAAGAAGAAATCATATATAAACAGGATCCAGAAATGCTGCCACCTTCTCTGGGCCTGAGCTCATTTAAAATGGACTGAGAGGAAGTGGGAAAGTGTCCTGTGGTCCGACGAATCAACATTTGAAATTCCTTTTGGAAATCGTGGACACTGTGTCCTCTGGGCTAAAGACCACTCAGCTTGTTATCAGAGCACAGTTCAAAATCCAGTATTCATGATGGTGTAGGGGGGTATTAGCGCACATGGTATGGGTGACTTGCACATCTGTGAGGGCACCATTAATGCTGAATGATATATACATGTTTTGGCAACAAATGCTGCCATCCAGACAACGTCTTTTTCAGGGAAGGCCTTGATTATTTCAGCAAGACAATGTAAAACCACATTCTGCATGTATTACAACAGCATTGCTCTGTATTAAAAGAGTCCGGGTGCTAAACTGCCCTGCCTGCGGTCCAGACCTGTCACCACTGAGAATATTTGGAGCATTATGAAGTGAAAAATACAACAAAGGAGACCCCAAACTGATGAGTAGCTGAAATCCTATGTTAATCAAAAATGGAGAAACATTTCACGTTCAAAACTACAGCAGTGTCTCCTCAGTTCCCAAACACTTACAGAGTGTTGTTAAAAGAAGATGTGATGAAACACAGTGGTAACCATGACCCCGTCCCAACTTTTTTGGAACAATAAATAAAAACAATAGAATTTCTCAGTTTTAACATTTTGATATGTTGTCTTTGTAGTATTTTCAATGAAATATAGGCTTTAAAAGATCTGCACATCATTGAATTTTGTTTTTATTTACATACTGCACAGTGCCCCAACTTTTTTGGAAATGGGGTTGTACATTGTTTTTACTTTGCGTGACCTCTTTAGTCAAAAACAGTGTGTGAGGATTTGCATGTAAAACAAATAAACAGTGAATTTGTGTCAGAATTGAATACAATCCACCTTGAAATGTAATGAGACATGACTATTGCTTTCCACTGTGCAGTACTTTAAATAGCTTTGCCTCACTGAAATGCAGTCATAACAGTGAAATACAATAATACTGCAAGGTGGAAAGCAATAGCTATGCCTTTCAAGTTGGCAGTAACTGTCCCATTACATTTTAAGGTGGATTGTGTTCAGTTCTGGCAGGAATTTATCATTTCATTTTTAAAATGCAAATTCTCACATATTGTTTTTCAGTAAACAGGTCAAGCGAGGTGAGAATAATTGAGGTTTTGTTTTTCATGTTGGCAGTAGTGTCATGTATCCATTGCATTTCATTTTTCACTGTAGTGATTGCTTTTTTCGGTTTGGCATGAATTTCTCTCCATACTTTGTGTGTGTTCTTATTTTCATTAACAGTCTGCATTAGAGCTTAAACATGAGGCTAAAGGATCCAGAACTCTGTCCCGCTCTGCTCCGGCTTCCAAAGGGCAGAAAACAGAGACTGTCCGCATCATCACCAAGGACCTTATCAGGGACCTCAGGCAAGTTGACAGGTTTGACTACAATCATAGGTCAATGATACACATCAGTAGGGCTGTTAATTACTGAGTTGGACTCGATTTCAAAATGCCACTGCTAGAGAGGTAACGGTACGCCAAAGTCATCACTTATGGACCGTGGGAGAGACAGCAGGTCCAGCCAAGCAGTTTTTCTGTCGTAGTTTACTGGGAACCCAAAATTTTCCCACACAGCTGATTTGAAACAAGCAGGTTGGGTTTTCTCCTGTGCGTCATTTGCATCTGCCATAGTGTGAGTGATTCAGACAGTTTATTGTTCTTCACATGTATTCTCTGTACGACTGCATGCACTGAACCACAACATGCGTACCATTGACGGTTCAGGACGGATACGTGTACCAGTACACTCTTAGTCATTGCTTAGGAGTTGACTTTGTCTGTGAGAATCACTAATGATTCTATGGTAGTTTGCATGATAACCGTGCATATTTAAATGTGCATATTAAAGATGAAACGATATTAAAATTTCATATCACGATTATCATGACCAAAATTATCACGATTATCGGTATTATTGCGATATTGTTCAAATGTGTTGAAAAGTAAAATTAAAAAAATAAATACTGATACACAAACTGAAACTCGTTTCACCAACTTTTATATTAACACAAATAGAACTGGCACTTTTTGTTTGCATAAACATTAAAAAATAAGGTCAATACATTTTTAGTATTACTTTTGTATTACTTACAATACTTGTAATACTCTGTAAACAAAAGAATTGCAAATGTATTATTACTGTTATTATCACTACTGTTATTATACTTATTCTTCTTATTATTATTACTATTGTAATTATTATTATTATTATTATTATGATGATGATGATTATTATTATTATTATTATTGTTGTTATTATTAATTACAATAACTAGGGATTTCCCTGCATAGAGAATTAAATCTCGACCAACTCTGAGGTGCGTCTTAATGGAAAATTACTACTTCTAAGAAGTGCTGCACTCGGGGGATTTCTTTCCTAACTGCAATTGCAGCATTATTGTGCCGTTGTGGCGCTTTACCCCTAATCAATACAGCGCACCAGGAAAAACAGCCAAAATCACAGAGGAATTGCGTGACCGCGCTGTGAGCTGCAGACAGTGTAGAACTCACACAGTGTGTCTTCACCTGTGGAGCTGCTTCTCTAAAAGCATTTTAAACCTAAAACATAACTAAAAATTAACATGCATCTGAGCTGCGGCAGAAACACTCCTAAAGTTTAATCTCTGAAACTGCTTTTCCTAAAAGCAGCACACAGCGTTTACTCGCGCGAGGTCCCGTCTCAAAGCACACTATCTTCCCTATGTAGTGCACTTCGTGGATCATGAAATAGCAAATCCTTCACCCAAAGAGTGCATGAAATGCTCGACTAAGTCATCTATAATCAACATTAACAACAGGCTACAAAGTCCCTATTTAAAACTCAACTGCTTGGTACTGATGATCGTGTTTGTTAGCGCACTATGTAGGGGACACAGTGATTTGAGACAGCGTTATTCTCTTCTCAGACAGTAAACACTGCAAGCGAGACGAGAAAGGTGAGCTGCGCAGATTGAACTTTTGCAGCGTCTCGTTCCTTGTGTGACTGTTAACTCAGAGCTCATTTTGGAGACTCTACTCCACAGAAATATTTGTTAAAAGCTTTAGTTTCGATTCACAGTTGATTCACCGATTGTTTTCTTTTTTTTGACGCTAAAAGCTTCATTCTATATGATCAACGAACCATAAGCATTGGTTAAACCACACAAACCATGACATTTCTTCTATTTCAAAGTCCCCACAGACTTTTACAGTAAACTTAACCTTGCGTTCTCCAAAAAGTAGCAGGTGGTGGTCGCGAAAATGACTCGTAAGGTTTGATGTGTTGCCCCCTTTCGCCGCTATTTTCTTTCGGCCTGTTCTGCAGACAGCGTGGTCATCTTCAATTAGCTTTCCTTCTGCATTCTTATAAAACCCAAAATATGACCAAACGTCAGACTTGGTCTTCTTACAAGGCTGAAATATCTCTGAATCTCCGAGTTTTTCACACCGTGGTAATCGACCTCGGTTTTAACGTTACTTTAAAGTTCAAACGGTACTACTAACCGTCATTAAATTTTACCGTGGTTTACCGTGAAACCGGTAACCGTTTCATCTCTAGTGCATATGTTCTGGCATTAATTGCCATGGGGGGATGGGGCGTCTTCAGTGACAGCAGAGGAGGGTAAAGTTCAGCTCCTCACTGCTGGGCTTTAGTTACATTTAGGGCATCATATGCCTTCAAAGAGGGGGGCAATTATTTATTATCACCCACCCCTAATTGTTTGGTGATATGAAGCCGAAGTCAGATATTCTCCAGTTTCTTGTTCGAATTTTCCCATTCCGCCTTAAATGGTGCAGCAGTAATTCTGGCGCTTCAGGTGTCAGAACTGCTAGACTATTAAGGGGGAATGGGAAAGTAAGCTAGCTAGATACCGAGATATTAGCATGCTATTAGTGATTTTTTTAATGCTTGTTATGAAGAAAACGACCAAAATACACCGAAATGACATTAAACTAAGATAAAACAATGGTTATCATAATTTTTTAACGGAGAAAATTCTCACATTTGTTTCTTTGGTCTCTTGTTCTCCATCTTGCCGGTTTTTCTCTTTTTTTCCTCATAACTCTCCGTTTGGAGTCTCTGAAAAACCTCTGTTTGGAGGGTCATGTAGCCCGAACACTTCATCCTACCCCTCAATCTCTACAAGAATCGGGACACCCTACCCCTAGACGTGAACGCACAAAACAGAGGGCCCAGGGCTGAGTTGTAGGGGCGAGGGGTGAAATGGTACTGGGCCTAAGTTTGTTGTTTCGAAGGGAGATTTTAAATGTGCCAAAAAATACTAAAATGTATGACTCACCTTGAACTAGAATTCGGAACAGAGACCCATCTGGCCAGTCCATCATCATCTGCACAGAAGAAATTGGACGCATCACAGCTGAGTCTCGTGTTGCCGCTAAAGAAGAAAAAGAAGCAGTGCTGGAGAGTCAGCGCAGAATTCGGGAGGAGGCCATGGTGAGCAGACCTCAAAGTTAAAAAAAAATTCTTGCCCTCTTGATTTGAAAAGGTCGGTATGCTAAAGCCGTACTAATTTATAGTAGAGTCAAAATACCAGACGTAACAGTCCTTTACTGCTTACGCAAGATGCAGCAGCACAGATCCTAACAAAAACAAAAGCTCATATCACCCCCGTTTAGAAAGAACAGCATTGACTAAATGTATCTTCTAGGATAGATTTTAAGGCTCTGTTATTATTGTTTAAGGCTTTGTTCACACGGCAGGTAAAAGTGGCCCAAATCTGATTTTTTTCCCCTCATATGTGACACAGATGTGTGTGTCAGTTTGAACAGATAAACACACTGAATCTGACATTTTCAATTTCGCTTTGAGACATTTTCGTATGTGGTACTGAAATCTGATACGTGTCCGATCCACAGCAATCCGACTCAGTCTGAACAGCCGGATCGAAATTCATGCGACTTTCATGTCAATCCACCTCGACACTCTGCATCATTTCGAGACCTCAAACATTTAGGCTGATGTTTCTGCACCAAAAAATTAGAAGAAACTCATCAGAACCACTCTGTGTTGGAAGAGTTTAGAAAGAAATGGCCGAACGTGGCTGGAGGAGAACAAGGCTGCAACGTCAGAGAACAGTTAAAATTCTGAAAGCAAAGCTTAAAGAATCCGAGGACGCGAACCAAAGAAGTGACTGTGGCCGAATAACCTCCAGCTTTTATAAGACATTATACAACCCTTAGTTCCGGCCACGCAAGCTGATTGGTTGAGAAGTGTTCTAACCGTGCTGTTATTTCACCATAACAGCACATTTTTTTCACAAACACTGTATCACTCTGCTGAGACACCATTGCTAAGCAACGACTTTGACAGCTGTAGGAGACGCTCAAGACAATTGAACGTTTTACTTCTTACTTTGCCACAAACAGAAAATCACATTTGACCGACAGCCAATTTGGTCAGACTCTGAAGATGAGATGACACTAAATTCCCAAACTGTCATCACCACTGAGCAGCTTTTCAGGCAGCTGTGACAGGAGAACAGCTAAACAACCTGGAATCAGCCAGAAATGAACCCAACACCATTCGCCAAACTAAATGGGCTGGAAGATGCTTTACAGACTGGCTGGAACAGAACAACATTAATACTGATCTGGCAAAAATTGACAAAACTGAGCTAAACTTGATATTGCGGCAGTTTTATGGCTCAGTCTGTACTTCAAAAGGCGAGGCTTACAGCAGACTGTGCAGCGAGTGGGCGGAGCTCATTACTCTGACGTAGCAACAAGCTGCTTGTTAAGGAACTATAATTTGGTGAAGGAACTGCGAACATTAAAACATATTAAACGCCGCGTTCACGGCCCAGTTTATTAATTTATTACTTTATTTATTTAACTGTTGTATTAAAGCAATAGAACACTCGAGGAGTGTGTTATCGCCAATAACATCACGGCTGCGATGATCTACGGCGACCAAATCACAGCTGTGATGTTATTTCGCAATAACATACTTCCTCTACTGTTCTACTGCTTAAGTGAAGCACAGTGTATAATAATATTATAATAGTATAAAAAAAGTATAATAATATAATTATAATATAGTATAATATTATTATTATTGTTGTTATTATTATATAAATGTGGTCTTACTAGCCATAGCCCAGTTAGTCACCAAAAATACATGCATCTCCTTTTTTCCCCTATTTTTATATTTCTACATCACATCTACAACACTGAAGCTCTGCTTGACATTGTGTGAAACTTCAAAATGAATGGACTAACAGATTATTGTCCAAAATCACTTAAAATAGAATCTCTTTACATTAGCTTCCATTACAAGTTGATCACTTACAAGTCATATTATTATTTGTGCCACATCTAGTCTCTAAGGTGAATAAACTCTCTTCTTAAATCACCTCAAATTTCACTCAAATAAGACAAATGAATATCCTTTGTAACTGCAGTACCAAACGGGGAATTTCACTGATTTTTCAAAATTTCTACATAATTCAGTCTGTAAGATGTAAGTAAAGCCTTGATAATGGGTTGTTTTGAAACTTGGCATTCTACTGAAACTTAGAGTCAGAATGGTTTACAGTCATGGTGATGAGAATGAAGCGAAGACGTGAGACATGAAGCGTTTAATGCTTCTAAAGCCTACAGCATGCAAAGTTATGACATGGAATGGTTATGGATATGCTGCAAGATACATTGTTTTCAGATAGTTTTGAGATGTTAGGTTTACAGGTCGCTCTGAAAAGTAAATAAAATAGAAATGTGTACACCGATCAGACATAACGTTATGACCACCTCCTTGTTTCTACACTCTTTGTCCATTTTATCAGCTCCACTTACTATATAGGTGCACTTTGTAGTTCTACAGTTACAGACTGTAGTCCATCTGTTTCTCTGCATACTTTGTTAGCCCCCTTTTACCCTGTTCTTCGGTGGTCAGGACCCCCATGGACCCTCACAGAGCAGGTACTATTTGGGTGGTGGATCATTCTCAGCACTGCAGTAACACTGATGTGGTGGTGGTGTGTTAGTGTGTGTTGCGCTGGTGCGAGTGGATCAGACACAGCAGTGCTGCTGGAGTTTTTAAACACTGTGTCCGCTCACTGTCCACTCTATTAAAAGCACATGCATTGTTGGTCCACCTTGTGGATGTACAGTCAGAGACGACAGCTCATCTGCTGCTGCACAGTTTGTGTTGGTCATCCTCTAGTCCTTCATCAGTGGTCACAGGACGCTGCCCACAGGACGCTGTTGGCTGGATATTTTTGGTTGGTGGACTATTCTCAGTCCAGCAGTGACACTGAGCTGTTTAATGTTATGCCTGATCAGTGTATATCTGCGTGACCCCTGGTTCCTATCACCACCATTGTAAAGAAATCTATCCGTTTCTCTGCAGTGCGTCAGTTCATATCAAATCACTCTCCATGACTTTCTTAGCTATTAATTTATGCAGACGTTTTGAAAAATCAGTACAGTTCCCCTTTAAATAACTTTACCTCAAATGTATTTCAGTCGCAGAGCAATTGTTGGGGTTCAAAGTTTGCTTCTTTAGTTTTTCATTGGAATTACCTGGCTAATGTGTATTTTTGCATAGTCTTACAGTTAACATCATGTAATATACTGTCAGAGATCACATGCGCAAGTCTGTTTTAGATTCCTTAGTATAGTTTGTGGGAAGTGGGTGTCTTGCTGTTTACACAGTACTGAGTGGTGTTTATGGTACATTTTCCTCAGAGCTCTAGTGCTGAACTAAAGAAGCAAACATAAGAAATGTGTAAATTTGATTCATTGTCAAAGTATACCTTAAGACTGATAATGGCTTTGTCTTTCTTAACAATGAAAAGACCCATATGTTTAGGGCTTAGCAGAGCTGAGGTGAAGCACATGCAGCATCAGTACTGTTTGTGTTTTTGTGTGTGTGTGTGTGTGTGTGTGTGTGTGTGTGTGTGTGTCAGAATGCCGCAGAGGAAAGGAAATCGCTCATGCACCAGGCAGATTTGTCCCGTCAAAAGAACCAAGGCCTTAGCGACCTGGAGGCTGAAGCTAGAGAGCGCGCTCAGTACCTGCTTGAAAGGGCTAATGCTCTAAGGATGGAGCAAGAAGATGAGGTCAAGAAGCTCAACGAGGTTTGGCTTCATCTCTCTCATTCGTTCTGTTCCAGAGAGGCCAGTTGTGTGTGTGTGTGTGTGGGGGGGGGGTTACAAGCACATACAAACTTTTTTTTCCGGTTACTGACATGCTGCTGGTTTTGCTGGTTACTGATCTTCCTTTTTCTTCATCAATCAGCATTCAACCTGTCAGCTTCATCAGTTATTTACAACCCTATTTCCAAAAAACCTGGGATGCTGTGCAAATGTAAATAAAAATATAATGCAATGATATGCAAATCATATAAACTTATCTTTAAATGAAAATACTACAAAGACAACAAATCAAATGTTGAAACTGAGAAAATGTATTGTTTTTTTGTTTTTTTTTAAATATATACCCATTTTGAATTTGATGTCAACAACATGTTCCAAAAAAGTTGGGACAGGGCCATGTTTACCACTGTGTTTCATCACCTCTTCTTTGAACAACACTGTCATTTGTCGTATTTTTCATTTCAAAACCCTCCAAATGTTGTCAGTGGGTGACAAATCTGGACTGCAGGCAGGACAGTTCAGCACCTCTTACTACAGAGCAATGCTGTTGTAATACATGCAGAATGTGGTTTGACATTGTCTTGCTGAAATAATCAAGGCCTTCCCTGAAAAAGGACGTCGTCTGGATGGCAGCATTTGTTGCCAAAACATGTATATATCGTTCAGCATTAATGGTGCCTTCACAGATGTGCCCTGTCACCCATACCATGTGCGCTAATACCCCCCTACACCATCATGAATACTAGATTTTGAACTGTGCTCTGATTACAAGCTGAGTGGTCTTTAGCCCAGAGAACACAGCGTCCATGATTCCCAAAAAGGAATTTCAAATGTTGATTCGTCGGACCACAGGACACTTTCCCACTTCCTCTCAGTCCATTTTAAATGAGCTCAGGCCCAGAGAAGGTGGCAGTGTTCTTGGATCCTGTTTATATATGATTTCTTCTTTGTGTTGTAGAGTTTTAACTTCCATTTGTGGATGCAGTGACGAACTGTTTACACAGACAGTGGTTTTCAGAAGTGTTCCTGAGCCCATGCAGTGATTTCCACTACAGAATCATGTCTGTTTTTAATGCATTGCCGCCTGAGGGCCCAAAGATCACAGCTAGCCAATACTGGTTTTTGGTCTTGTGCTTTACGTACAGAGATTTCTCCAGATTCTCTGAATCTTTTAATGTTATTATGTACTGTAGATGATGAAAAGCAAAAGTTCTTTGCTGTTTTACGTTGAGAAACTTTATTCTTGAATTGTTGCACTATTTGATCGTGCAGTCTTTCACAGAGTGGTGAACCCCTCCTCATCTTGACTTCTGTAAGACTCAGCCTCTCTGATATGCTTTTTTGGAACGTGTAGTTAACATCAAATTCAAAATGGGCAAATATTTTTCAAAAAACAATAAATTTCTCAGTTTCAACATTTGATATGTTGTCGTTGTACTATTGACAATGAAATATAGGGTTTAAATGATTTGCACATCATTGCATTTTGTTTTTATTTAAACTTTACTCGCGTCCCAACTTTTTTGGAAATGGGGTTGTATGTTTACCTGATATAACAGCTCACTTTTGCCCTTTTATTAAAGTGTCATAACTGTTCATTAATGATTTTAAGGTGATTTATCTAATACATAACATTAATAAACTAATTTTAAACCATTTATTAACCTGTCCACAGTTGATCCTGGGGGCTCAATGCCATGCAGTACGTGAAGCTCAGATCCTGGAGAGGAAACAAATTCTAAAAGAGCTACAGGAGGAGGAGAGGAGGCTGGATGCCATGATGGAAGTGGACCGTCGCCGGGCCCTTGAGGTTCAAGAACAGATTGACCAGCTGCGTAAACAACAGAGGATTCAGTGAGGGCATTTAATGTTTTACATAAACTTTTCAAGTGTCTGCTGGTTGTTTGTGGATGTTTGTCATTCCTGAGCTTGTTCTGTGCATGTTATGTTATGCATTAGAGGAAAGATGTGCATCCTAAAACAGATTGAGGACCGGCTGGAGGAGCGCATGCTAGATGACGAAGTGAAAGAACAGGAGGGGCAGCAGATGCTGGAGAGCCTGGAGAGGATGCAGATGGAGGAGCTGGAGGTAAACACACAGTATCAGAACCCACTTGAACACACAGCTTACCACATAGCTCTGATAGCTAAAGAGGGGATGTGGAGTCTGTGTTTTGTGGAGAAAAGTGAGGTGCACTTTTTTTCCCCTCAATAGTTCACCCCAGAGAATCTAAATCTGTGTTTTCTTTAAGTAGATAAATCTTCCTCGTACGAGAATGCAATATACACTGGAGTCCCAAAGTCCCAAAAGAGATTTTAAATGAAAAAATTCCAGATTTTCAATAAGCTCGGAAATAAACAACAAAATTTTAGAAACTTAAACATTTGACAGTTAAAACAAGGACAAAATATTTAAAATTCTGTGCTAATCCTAGGTCACTGTTTAATTTGAAGCAAAATTTTAAAATTGACCATGTTAAGACCTTCATACAAAAAGGTAAGATTTTTTTTGTCTTATTCCTTCCATTGAGAAACATTTTCAGACGACTCTTAAGTGGATTTAATCTAGTGATCAGAGGCTTTTGCACAAACCTGCAGCGTCAGTGCCAACTTGAGTGCACACTGTCACTGAAACCTAAGGGCTGCCATTCTGTACCAAATACTAAGAAATTCAAATTCTAGAAATTCTTGTAAACGTTCAAAGGTTCTACTTTTAATTCAAATTGGTAGACTGATAATGTCATGTGTAGTGATACTTTGTATTAATTTTTTTGCGGGGTCTTCTAGAATAGATATGCATGCTTCAATCATACTGTGCATCTCTATTCAACCTCTGTTTGAAACGCTCTGCTGGGGCTCCTCTGTCTAAGCCTCGCCTCCCAGTGAGCCCAGCTTGCTCTGATTGGTCAGCCTGGCCACTCTGTTCTGATTGCTCAACCACCAGAGCAGCATCCTGCTACAAGTTCTGTCCCCATGCTGCTGTTTCTATTCTTACAAAGGCGTCAGTTTTGCCATATGCTGTTGTAATACATGCAAAATGTGGTTTGACATGGTCTTGCTGTAATAATCAAGGTCTTCCCTGAAAAAGACGTCATCTGGATGGCAGCATATCTTGCCAAAACATGTATATATTGTTCAGCATTAATCGTGCCATCACGGCCAGCAAATACTGTTTTTTGGTCTTGTCCCTTACGTACAGAGATTTCTCCGGATTCTCTGAATCTTTTAATGTTATTATATACTGTAGATGATGAAAAGCAAACATTCTTTGCTATTTTATGTTGAGAAACTTTATTCTTGAATTGTTGCACTATTTAATTGTGCAGTCTCACACAGAGTGGTGAACCCCTCCTCATCTTTACTTCTGAAAGACTCAGCCTCTCTGAGATGCTCTTTTATACCCAATCATGTTACTGACCTGTTGCCAATTAACCACCAGGTGTTTTTTTAGCATTACACAACTTTACCAGCCTTTTGTTGCCCCCGTCCCAACTTTTTTGGAACGTGTTGTTGGCATCACATTCAAAATGGGCAAATATTTTTCAAAGAACAATACAATTTCTCAGTTTCAACATTTATGTTGTTTTTGTAGTATTTTCCTTAAAAGTATGGTTTACATGATTTGCATATCATTGCATCCTATTTTTATTTACATTCTGCACAGCGTCCCAACTTTTTTGGAAATGGGGTTGTAGTTCTCAAATAGGACTGATAAGCTAAATACTCAATTTTGGTATCGTACAGATATATTTATTTTATATGTTCTCTAAGACTGTAATAAGTTTATTCTATGGAACAGTGTAGGAAAGTTGGCCAATTATGTTGCAGATTCTTTTATGACATTATGCTAAAATGTCACTAAGCAGATTCATAAGTTTTAAATAATTTTCAAGTAGCTGTAATTGTAAAGTTGTCAAAAAAGTAAGATTTTTAGAGGATTTTAGACTGACAGATGTGTAGCAGATGAGAAAGATGTTCTAATAAAATTAAATATTGAATTTGGCAAGAAAGTACTACATGTACATAATTACAGTATACTATTTATCTAATAACTTTTTGTTACCGGAACACTTCTAAACTACTTAACTGCTTCTACATACACCACTTACACATGCACCATGCATGTGTAAGTGGTGTATGTAGAAGCAGTGAATCTGATGGCTGTGCTCTGCTGGAAAGCTTTTTCTTGGACAGGATGCTAGGACAGGAATGAGTCAGCAGTGAGGGTGTAACTTTAGTGGATCAGATCTAAAATTGTGTGTGTGTGACTGTGCACGTACTGCACTGTGCGAAAGTCTCATGATCTTATGAGAGCGCCCTTTATTTATTTAATTTCAAGTCAAGTAGGAGATACTCATTTCTTGGGACCCTCCTTTTGTGTACTGGGTCAAAATCGACCCTTTTCAGGTCTCTAAAAGTGCATTACACTTATTTATATATTTTTTCATGAAACTTGATAACTTCCTTAACAGTGATGATACAAATATGTCATCTTCATTTTTACTAGTTTGATGATTTTATAAAATCTCTACACTATTTGGATACAAAGACACTGCTCAGGGTCAAATTCGACCCTGTAGTTCAGAGTGGCAAACGGGAAAGCTATCGGAGTGGGAAACAGAGTGCAGATCAAGTTTATGACCTTGTTGAAAGCAACTAAATATTTATTGCTGGAAAGTTGAATCCAAAGCTGCCAGAGTAGGAAACAGAATGCAGATTTTACAAGTTTATGACCTGTGAGAAGACACACACAGCAACTAAAGATTTCTTGTGGGAAAGTATAATCCAGACCTATTGGGGGGTGCAGATGAGAGTGCAGAGAAGGTTGTGACAGTAACTTCACACTCATTCAACCTCTCTCTCTCTTGCACAGATGGAGGTTCTCACTCTAGGAAAGCCATTAAACCTTTGATCAAGTAAATGGCCAATGCTTACAATGTTGAAATCAGTTTAGAGCATGACAAATGTACACACACACACACACACACACACACACACACACACACACAAAAAAAAAGGCAACTAAATAATTTATAGCGGGAATGTCCAATCCAAAGCTACCAGAGTGGGAAACAGAATGCAGATCAAGTTTATGACTTGTAAGAAGACACACACAGCAACTAAATATTTCTTGTGGGAAAGTATAATCCAGACCAATGGTGGGACGGTGGGGCAGGGGGGCGATATAGAGTGCAGATGTTAAATCAATCAGTTCAGAGCATGACAAATGTACACATGCGCACACAAAAAAAAAAACAGACACATACAAACAAACATATATACATTATATATATAATATACACACACCTATTTTTATATATATATATATATATATATATATATATATATATATATATATATATATAAATAAAAATAAATAAATTATGTATGTAGACCCCAGGGCCCACAAGATCTTCAGTGAAATTTTGTAACATAAGGGTTAGTTTTGACACTCATCATAAAAGAGTTTTCATAATTTGATGTCAACACAAATCAAATATCTGTGAAGTAATTTCATACTATAAATGTACAATATCCAGCAGAATAAATAGCACCTACGTCCAAAATAGTACATTATTGTTGCAATACACAGTGAGTAAAAATGGTACCCAAGGGCCGAAAAAAAAAAAAAGTTAACACTATTTTTCAAAGAATGTTGAGAAAAGAGGAAAAAATTGAAGGCAAGGCACCTTTATTTATGTAGCACCTTTTAAACACTGCATTCATTCAAATTGCTTTACCAATGGGGATAATAATGCATGTAAAAGGTGTACAATAATTTAAAAGATGTAGCAGAGAAGAAATATAAAAAAATTATTAAAACAATAAAAAAACAATAGTTTTAAAAGTGCTTTTATAAGAGAGAAGTGCCGTAGAGGTAACAGTGTTTCAGACTGAGGTGTGAGCTGGTCAAATAGGAACGTTTTCAGCCCAGATATTTAAGTGTCTAGTGTTGGGTCTATCTAATGCTGTTCTGAAGGTGATAAAATGTTGATTTAGTAACTGCTTTAACGTGACAGCCAAAACTGAGGTTAGAGTTCAGTAGTACACAAAGGTTATGTGCTTGTTCTTAAGATTTTAATGCTCTTGGATCCAGATATGCAGCTAATTTGTGCCTCTCAATGCAATTCCCGAATAAAATAATATCTGTTTTATATTTATTCAACTGCAGAAAGTTTTGCCCTGTCCAGTTAGCGATGTGCTAAAGGCACAAGTGCCAAGTGAATCTGAAGCTGGCTTCTTATTCAGATTTTCCATTCCGGTCTTTTACCCTGTTCTTCAGTGGTGAGGACCCCCAAAGGACCACCACAGAGCAGGTGTCATTTGGGTGGTGGAGGCTTATTAGTGTGTTGCGCTGGTGCGAGTGGATCAGACAGCAGTGCTGCTGGAGTTTTTAAACACTCACTCTCCACTCTAGACACTCCTACCTTGTCAGTCCACCTTGTAGATGTAAAGTCAGAGACGATAGCTCATCTGCTGCTGCACAGTTTGTGTTGGTCATCCTCTAGTCCTTCATCAGTGGTCACAGGACGCTGCCCACAGGACACTGTTGGCTGGATATTTTTGGTTGGTGGACTATTCTCAGTCCAGCAGTGACACTGAGGTGTTTAAAAACTCCAGCAGCACTGCTGTGTCTGATCCACTCAGACCAGCGCAACACAAAACCACCACCACATCAGTGTTAATGTAGTGCTGAGAATGATCCACCACCCAAATAGTACCTACTCTGTGAGGGTCCATGGGGGTCCTGACCACTGAAGAACAGGGTAAAAGGGGGCTAACAAAGTATGCAGAGAAACAGATGGACTACAGTCTGTAACTGTAGAGCTACAAAGTGCACCAATATAGTAAGTGGAACTGATAAAACGGACAATGAGTGTAGAAACAAAGAGGTGCTCGTAAATGTTATCCCTCTTGTCACTCACTGTCCACTCTATTAGACACTCCTACCTTGTTGGTCCACCTTGTAGATGTAAAGTCAGAGACGATAGCTCATCTGGCTTAAACATTCAGTTTAATTCTAAAGTTGGAAAATACTCATGTGAAAATGAATGACTGTTTTTGATACATAAAACCACACAAACTTTTAAGTGGACCCCAGGAGACAAATAAACTGCAATAAACAGTAGGACATGGGCCCTTTAATTGTTCAGCCATAGCCTGTCTGTCTGTCTGTGCAGTTTCTCACTGAGTTGGATCTCATTGTATTAGTAATGATTTATGTTTCCATCAAATTGCAGTGCTGTAATTTGCATTGTTATGTTTGTGGGATTGTGGTCCTAGGCCATGGAGAGAAAGAAAGCCGAGCAGAGAAGGCTCCTGCTAGAGATTCAGAAGATCAATGAGGAGAATCTACTTGCAAAGGAACACAAGAAAGAAGAGGAGAGACTAGCGGACCTTCGTGCTCTGGAGTATACACACAAGAAACTGGTGAGTAAAGGTTGTTTTCCAGTAGCTGCTCTGTGCCATAGGGAAGTTACGTACATCAGCAATGCTCAAAGGTAGTATTTGGACACTTCAACACCATTTATGTGATGTTTATCTCTTACTTTCCAAGCTAAAGTTTCCATTTATTCAACTAGGTTTACTAGAACTCAAAATGAGCCTAGTAATTGACTGAAACATACATGCCTCTGATTTTTCAAACATTTCAAAATTTCTGCATAATTCATTCATTTAGATGTACAGAGTCATTCAGAGTGGTCAGAGAGAGTCCATCTGTGTTAAGCAAAGTTTGAAAACATTCATCCTCACATTGACAGTAGCTGTAATCAGTAGAGAAGAGACTGATCCGATCCTGTCGGTATCGGGTCTGATATTGAAGCCACTCACTCATTGGATATCGGACGGACAGGGTCGATCCACTTACCGATCCAGTCCGCAATTTGCGCTGGACCATGAACACCCCCCGCCCCCCCGTAATGTAACAGACACGTCACCAATCCATATTCCATTCCACATCTTACCGTAAACCTGCGGCAACTTCATTCTGTAACTGAATGAGCAAATAACAGCTAGTAATCTAAATATCTACTATTAGAAATATTAATATTAATATAATATTTAAAATATGATAAAATAATGGCTGTTATATAAGATGAAACACCTTAAACACAATACCAACAATAACATTAATAATATTAACCTTTTCAACTCCTTGAGACCACCAGTGGTTCCAAAACGCACTTCGTCATATTCTTCATAACTTTCATATTTCATAAGCTACATTCTAAAGGTGGGGGTCATAAGAGCTGTAACTGTCTTCTTTCCAGTCAAATAGATGGGTGATGTAATTTTAAACCCTTATAATTAAAGAAGCTGAACTCACAATTTTTTTTCTACTGAAAGTCGACCCATTTTTCCACAAATCTGGGCTATAAACTATAAACAGATGGCGTCTCTTCAGTGATCTGCTCTGTAAAAATTATTTTTATAAAAAAACAAAGAGCGTGTAAGATTTTTGGCTTTCAGCAGTAAATTGTGAGCATATAGCAATATGTGTATCATAAAACACATTTCTTTTAATGTGAGGGGAGCGTTTTAAAAGAATATATATCCTGGTCAATAAGAGGTTAAAGTAAAAAGAGCTTTTGTATCGGAATCTGTATCGGTGTGTTCTCGCATAATGAATACATATAATGAAGTGGTAGCCTACTGGGTCAAAATCTGTACTTTTTTGGTTGCATTTGGCTGCATCTGTTCCTTAAAAATTTGGTTGCATTTTGCTCACATCGTAGATCCCAGTTTTATTTAGGTTAGTATTTTGTTTCATATCCCTTCTTTTGAATGACCGCTCAAAGTGTTCTAGGCATGCAGTGCATGAGTTAGCACAGCTGATACCCAGCCAGGATTGTTGGATGTTCTCTTTTGGCGGTCAGCATGACAATTCATGCCTCTTTCCATTATTTCAGTACATTTTTGACTCTTGATTTTAGTACTTTCAGCATATCTGCAGTCTCTCACATTTGGCCAGCTGCCAGGTAGCTTCCCTAAGGTTCCACCCTGTTGAGATTTGGTTTTATTTAGAGAGAATTACAGGAAACCTCTGAATGTTTATTTTTGTTTTTCCCATTTGACCTTCAGTACGTCTTTTATGGCAATAAACACACTAATTTATTGGTATGTGTGTAATGGAAATTTCACTAAACAAGCTAAGTGTTTTGTTTGAACAATAAAAAGTAAGTTTAAGTTAAAATGGAATCGGAAAAGCGGCTTTCAGGAGACCTTAAACAGATAATAAACTTTTTCAGAGCAGATCAAGGGTATAAAAAGATATCAAAGCAAAAAAGAAATAAATAAGAAAAACTGCCAGAGAAATAGCTGGGCACATTTGTAGGAAACAACAGAAGCAGCAGAAGAGCATGCTGAACAGGTGTGGACTGTTTGGGAGATTAAATTACTGTTGCTAACTTGTATATACAACATGTACAACATAGAGATTTCTCCAGGTTCTCTAAATCTTTTAATGATATTATGTACCGTTGATGATGAAAAGCAAAAGTTCTTTGCTATTTTACGTTGAGAAACTTTATTCTTGAATTGTTGCACTCTTTGATCGTGCAGTCTTTCACAGAGTGGTGAACCCCTCCTCATCTTTACTTCTGAAAGACTCAGACTCTCTGAGATGCTCTTTTATACCCAATTATGTTACTGACCTGTTTTTAGCATAACACAACTTTACCAGCCTTTTGTTGCCCCCGTCCCAAGTCAGTGGAACCAGAATTCTTTCCAAGTCATTTTGGGTCATTTCTTTTAGTCCATTCTTCATGAAATTTACCCACAATGTAAAGGGCAACAGACCTTTTCAAATTATGTCAAAGACTGAAAAATGACAAAAATGAAGATACAATATTTTCTTCCGACAGCAGCGATATCGTAAAATGTTTTGGTGGTTAAAATAATAATAAAATTAAAATAATTCCCAAAATAAGAGGATGCAAATCTTTCCCCTATACTACTGTTATCTTAGATAATAGGTTTTGCACAAACTACATCTTAACCATAATATACGTTCATTTATACAACAGTTACGGCCACACAAGCTGATTGGTTGATAAGCATTCTAACTGTGTTATTTTGCCATAACATCATGGGTTTTTCCACAAACACTGTATCACTCTGCTGAGATGTCGTTGCTAAGCGACAGCTGTAGGAGACGCTGAAGCCATTTGAACATTTTACACCTTTCTTTGCCACAAACAGAAAATGGACACTTTTAAGATCACATTTGACTGACAGCCGATTTGGTCAGACTCTGAAGATGAGACTACACTAAATTTCCAAACTGTCAGTTGGTCTGTGTGGAGCTGGAGAACGAACTGCCGGCTGTGCAGCGAGTGGGCGGAGTTCATTACTCTGACGTAGCAACAAGCTGCTTGTTAAGGAACTATAATTTGGTGAAGGAACTGCGAACATTAAAACATATTAAACGCCGCGTTCACGGCCCAGTTTATTAATTTATTACTTTATTTATTTAACTGTTGTATAAAAGCAATAGAGCACTCGAGGAGTGTGTTATTGCCAATAACATCACAGCTGTGATGTTATTTCACGATAACACATGACCGAGTGTTCTATTGCTTAAATGAAGACTTTTCATTCAACAAAGCTCTGTTCTTATGTTATCTTGCAGTGCAAAGAGAATAGAAAGTGGCCCTATTCCAGTATCTCAAGCAGGCATTTGAAACTGCTGATCTTTTGACTCTGATAAGATACGTATCTTTGTTACAGGAGCGAGAAGCGGAGTACGAGGCTGAGCAGAAACTAATAAAAAGAGAGAAGGAGAAAGAGGTAGCACGACTGAGGGCTCTGCAGGAAAGAGACAGAGACCATAAAGCTGAACAGGTAAAGTATCATCCACTACCCTTCTGTTAGAAATTCATGCTTTGCCACTGCTCATTTCAGTTATGACTATTAAAGAGGCATTCTGACCTAAAACGTGCATGTAATAAGTCATTTTGTCATGATATGTAATATTCTGTAGTGCTACTGTTATGGGATGGCAGGGAGGCGGATCCAAATGCAGAGAGGAAAACCTGTGAGAAAGGGTCTTAAATGAATTAACGAGGTGATCGAGTGTGAATGGAGTGATTCTGCACATTGGGGTTGAGGAGGCTCAGAGCCAGGCTCAAACCACTGATGTATTGAAAAACACCTCAATGAATGGGAATGAAAAAAATGTCGGGAAAGGGCAGACAAAGGGGACGCTGAAAACAGCGTGCTCAAACAAAGGCTGAGATAGAAAAGTAAAATAAAAGATAATCAGAAAACAAAAGACACTTCCTCTGTGATGAGAGGAAGGCCAGTTTCATGTTTCACCTGTTTGCTCTTTGTGGAACAAATATTTTTGTTTGGCTTGGAGCCGTTTATTGCTTAAGCCTTCTTTTTGTCTTTTAAGCAGTTTTGGGACAATTTATTCTTTTTTAGCCCTCTTTTTGTTCTTTCTGTAGCTTTGGGGCCATTTTTTTTTTCCAGCCTTCTTTTCTTTTTCCTTTTTGTTTAAATACCCACCTGGGCTAAGTACCCTACCGGTCACTCCTCTACAAAGGTGTGACAAAGGGCTGCTGTTCGCCACGGCCTTAAGTAGAGGAGTCCACAGGTGTGCCAGGTTGGGCCTAATCAGCCCGAGGGCTTCTGGGAATTGGAGTTCCCTGGATTTGTGGCGCCTCGCCGCCATCGCCCTCTGCTGGCGGCCGGCTGCGCAGGCTGGGCCCTTACAGCTACATTGTATCCCTCAACCTCATTGGTTTGAAAGAATTCAAAGACATTGAAAAAGATAACAAAAAAGCCATAGCCACTGATATGGAGGCTACTAAACGTATTTCGGAATCCTAGTGATACCGGTCGTCCTTCTGCCTTGGACGGCTGGTGGAAGAAATGTTTCAGACAGCCTCTAGTTTCCGCCCCAAAGTGCCTGTAGTTTTTCCAGAGGTCCTCCGTCTTTAAACTAGAAAATCTTGCTATAGAGACTGTTGCAGCACCTCTGTAGGTGGTGAGTAGGCATGCTAACAACAGATATAGTAAAAGTTAAACCTTTTATTTTGGCCGGAGTGTTCCTTTAAACTTTAATCCTTAAGATGAACACTGTTAAACGTGTATATCTTAGAACGAATAATGGAATGACTTCCTGCTTCGATACACAGATGAGAATAATGGTGATAATTAAGATTGATAGTAATTTAGGATGGAATGGTGTGTAAAGTGGCAATGATTTCTCAGTCCTAATCCTAGAACGCCACATCCTTGCGAAGTTTAATATTTCCCCAATATAACAAAACCAGTTTAACTCGGTACGAGTTTGTTCATTTTAACTAATAGATCTTTTTCTCAGTCACCACATCGTCACATCTGGCTGTAAAAGTTTCATTATTGAACTTCCGCCTGCACAGTTTAACAGGCAGGGTCACCAGTTTTTAGCCTCAGAAATCTTCCTTCGGCCTCAGTGCGGTTAATAGGAGAGCAGTTGGCACATCTGGTACTTCCTCCAGTATGGACGGAGAGGCTGGTTTGACTTGACTTGTATGACCCTGTGTGTCTGCCGCTGTGCGGAGCTCAGGGGTGAGCTCGGTAAATGGAGTTTGTTGTGGCATAAACGTTTGTGCCCCGCATCTTTGTGTCAAAGCAGCTGCGTTCAGACATATTCCGGAATGTATTCCCCAAAAAATCTGCGTCTGAAACGTGAGGATGTTTTGCAGAGCAGAGAAGGAGCGAGGCAGATCTTTATATTTAACACCACATCTCTAAACTGATTTGCTGTTATTGTGCTTCATTTTGGAGAAAAGGTCCACCAGGTTTAACTCTTCCTACTCAGCCCATGTAAACATTAGCAACATTAGCAAGTGCCCTGAACACAACCAGCTCAGAGACACAGCATCGTATTTCTACATTACAGTAAACTAATCACCAAGCTGCTGTGGTGTGGAGTCTATTTCTCAGGGTTTTTAAGCAAACTTTTGTGCTGACAATCTCCAGGGGCTGTATTACAGAAACTTCCTCTCTTTTTGTCTTAAGATCTGACAGGTCAAGAAAAGATTTATGCTGGGCATAGTGAACTGTGCTGCCTGACACAGCATAAAACAATGGAAACAGACGATTAAAACTGAAGTTAAGATGCTCTGGCGTTTATCTTAAAGTTAAGACAGTATTTAAGAGGTTTAGTCTAGTTAGGATGTTTGTATAATACTGTTTTTTATCTGGAGTTAATGATGAGATTATGAACTGAAGAACTGTTGCTCTGTAATAGCTTCCGTCCTAAATTCAATCCTAACTAAAGTTGTCATGTGACTAAGCAGATGAGATAAGATTTCAGACTTAAGAAGTTTCTGTAATACAGCCCCAGGACTGTAAATACGCCAGTGAATGAATATTTGTCTTGGAGCTGAGCATGTTTAATTACAAATGTGAGTAAATCTGTCCTACTTACAGCCCACATTCACTCTCAAGTTCAGTTTTAGTTAAGTTGTTCCTTTTTTGATGAGTTACCTCGTTAAAAGAGAGACATGGCACACTGAGCTTTTCAGCTGAACATTTTTAAACTGGCAACTCAGATAAGGCTGTTTAGTTCATTTATTGGTAGCCGTTTAGTGCTACTAGTATTTACTCTCTCACATTAACGGACAGAAAAGTATGAGAAGGTGTATTATATCTAATTAGCAATACATTCAGAGACTTTGCCTTTGTCCCCTTCAGCTTGTTAAAATCTGCCCCAGAGTAGTAAACATTTTATTCTGATATACACCGATCAGGCATAACATTATGACCACCTCCTTGTTTCTATGCTCATTGTCCATTTTATCAGCTCCACTTACTATATAGGTGCACTTTGTAGTTCTACAGTTACAGACTGTAGTCCATCTGTTTCTCTGCATACTTTGTTAGCCCCCTTTTACCCTGTTCTTCAGTGGTCAGGACCCTCTGCTGTGTCTGATCCTCTCAGACCAGCGCAACACACACCAACACACCACCACCACGTCAGTGTTACTGCAGGGCTGAGAATGATCCACCACCCAAATAGTACCTGCTCTGTGAGGGTCCATGGGGGTCCTGACCACTGAAGAACAGGGTAAAAGGGGGCTAACAAAGTATGCAGAGAAACAGATGGACTACAGTCTGTAACTGTAGAACTACGAAGTGCACCTATATAGTAAGTGGAGCTGATAAAATGGACAATGAGCATAGAAACAAGGAGGTGGTCATAATGTTATGCCTGATCAGTGTATAAGTTAGATTAACAAATGACCACTTGACTTACTACTTTAAAATGCTTAACATTTTAAAATCTTAACATTCGATTTGCATCAGGTTACAAACTACTCTATCTCTCACACATGACATCACTGTAACATGACAACAGAACAGTAAATTAAATGCCAAAAATAGTTGTTTTTTGCTTCACGTTAAAGGTTTAATTAGCTGATCAGTTAAATCAGTTAAAATACTAAAACACATTTTAGTAAACACGCAGACAGGACCAGAATTAAGACACACAATACAAGGAACAACAGAATAAAACATCAGTATATTTAATACCTAGGCAAATTTTGTGCATTCCAGGATGAGCTCAGGGCCCGTAGGAACCAGGAGGCTGCAGAGAGGGAATGGAGACGGAAAGAGAAAGAGCAGGCCAGGAAGAAGCTGGAGGAGGACGAGAGGCTGAAGGCTGCTCGTCTAGAGCAGGTCACCCACAAGGAACACATGCTGTCCATTGAAGCGGGCCGAGAGAGGGCAGAGTTTGAGAGGGTCCTGAGGTACACAGCACACACTATGTTGATGTGCCTTTATATTCTTTTTGTTGTTGTACTTCATTTCTCGTAATTTTTAATAATATTATTTAGGCCTGTCATGATCATGAGATTTTAGCTAATAATTAATTGCCATATACACACACACACACACACACACACATTTTCTAAACCGCTTATCCTTCTGAGTCATGGGGGGTGCTGAAGCCTATCCCAGCGGTCATTGGCGGTGGAAGGCAGGATAATTGCCAGTAACCATTTCAATTCATTCTGTTTGATTATTGTATGCAGCTCTTAAAGTGCAAGCCTGAAGTGGCCAAACTGGTTGATTAGCTATTTTGATTCCTACCCATCAAAATTTTGTAGCTCTTGAGCTCAAATAAATAACCATTACTCACCACTGCCATCTAACAAGGTTACAACACAACACATTTTGCTGTTTTTGTAAACCACATGACATCTCAATTAATGTTTTCTCTGCTTTATTTTATTTGCATGAATTTGCCTCAACCCAGCTCATCAAAATGTGTGACTGTGAGCGCTAACAGCTGTGGAAAATACTTGTAATTAGAGCTGGGCAATTTGGCACGAATGTAATGTCACTGTGCTTCAAGAAGTTTTTAAGATACGCAGTATATCACAGTATTTATTGTTTCTGACATTTGGTACTTTGGAACATAACAAGTACCACAATAAAAATACTAGCAAAAATTGAGAATACAGTGATTTGTATTCAACATTTCACATACTAAGCCGCACTAAATCCAGTTAAACAGGAGTAATCATGCTCTGAAACATGCAGTTGCAAAGTGTTCTTTAAGTACTGACAACATCTACACTCAGAAGAGAATATTGTGACATATTGTGACTAGAGCTGGGCGATATTACCAAAAATGTTATCACAATCAAAAAAATTCATAGCAGTTGAAACTATCTATCTCGTTTTAAACTATCTATTTTGGTTAGAACATGACAAACACTCGCCAACCAGTGGAACATTTCACAAATCAGTCATGGGAGAGTGGGAGAAAGTTAGCAGTTTTTACCAGCTGGAAAAGCACATCTGTGATTTTTATATTCATATAATATTCATAATTTAAAAAGAAAACATTGTTTTTAGCTGTCTGGTTACAAGTGCTAAACTGTTTAGTTTCTCAACAACGCCAGCTTAATACGAACAGCCAACATTAGCTGGCTCGGTAGGTCAGTGATGGATCACAGTATTCAACACCAGCTAGCAGACGACTGGGTTTCTCTATTCTATCGTCGTAGTTTGAGGGGTGAACCGCAATATATCTCACGCTCACTGTGTAAAAACATCAACTGCAGTGTGAATCTCCCACCAGACAAACAGAGTCCTCCTTTTAGGTACGTTTAAACTGAAATTGGTGCTTTTGTGTCGTGTTTGATCTACAGTAATATTAATTCTCCATGTTGTGCGAGTGACAGAGCTACTTCAAGTTAGCCAGCTGCTAAAATCAGCTAGCCTGGGAAGCTAACGTTCTACTCAGTTTACCTTTGTTTAAATCAGGGCTGTAACTCACATGAGCCACTTCTTTCTTTCACTTTTGTTGTTTTTGAATGCACTAATACTAAAATATGACTGAGAGCTGTAACAGTGCTGTAGCTGTGAGGAGCAGACGTGATTTATTGCTGCTAAAGCTGGTTAGGATGTTAGGAAAGAGGTGAGTTCGCTGTAGGACAGTACAGTTACACCACTGATCTTGTTACTCACACTTGGTCACAGGAGAACAGATCGCTGATCGCTCCACTCAGACAGGAGCGTCTAACTCCACGTTTCAGGCGTTGCTAATGATCTCAGATCATATTGAAAAACTCAGAAGTGCGCCCTCTCATAGTAGTGTCGCTTTCCTTGCAGTAGAAAACGGCACCAGGGCTGTCGCTAGAACACAGAAGTGTGAGAATGCTCTATTCTATCGAACTTTTTTAATACTACCGAGGAAAGTTATATCGTGATAATTAGCGTTATCGTTTTATCGCCCAGCCCTAATTGTGACATAATTTATCATGATAGCAAAAAATATTGTCATATTTCCCAGCCCTACTTGCCATCAGCTCAAGAAGTATTGTAATAATTGTGACAGGCCTATCATGATTCGTCAGCTGTGGAATTAGAGCTTTCTGTGGGCTCCCCTGTTTTCTATCACTACATAATAGAAGTTCCATGCAGCCTTAATTGTTGGATGCCCTGTGATCATTTTAAGCCAGCGTGCGCACACATTCCGAATGGAATTTCTGATGGATAATTTGGATCGGCTTATTGATTTGTCTCATCAGAGTAAGAGTGAAGTCCTTATCAAGTCTTTAGATGGATATTGAATGGCTAAAATTAACTTGATCCAGTTCAGATCCTTCATTTTGTTTTTGTGTTACTTCAGTGTATTTGATGCACCAACTACGCTAAATGGGAACTATGGGAACAAAAGTTGAACTGTTTTAAAAGGAAGCTTGAACCGTTTAATATCTGTGGCTCCAGTGTTTAAACACTAGTCTCATTTCGTCTAAACATGGACGTATAAAATGCAAGTGCATGGCCAAAGACTGCTTTCTGTGCCAAAACCATGTGATAAATACACTTCCATAGTAAATATCGAAGCCAAATCTTCAGATCAGTCAGTAAATCAAGCTTATTAAACACTGTAAAATGGTCAATATGAAGGAGTAGGTTAAAAAAACAAAACATTGCTCTAGAATGTCACATTGTGCGCATACTAAATGAGCTGATTTTACTGTATTAATTTGCAGAGTAGCGTGATCTAAATTATTCAGCTATATTATTTCTGAAAATACAGATAGCAGATTGGACTCTGTATCAGCTGATGCTCAATATAAAAGGACTTGAAACTGTAAGATGATGCCTAAAGACCGTGTTGAAAACTGACTCACTTTTAATAGTAAACCAGTCCAGAATAGTCCACCAACCAAAGCAAAGCGGTCCTGTGGTCTAAATTGACGGCTGATGACAAACACGCTGAAAGACTGTGGAAGAGTTGGGTAATTTAAAAACATAGAAATGTTGTTTTTCCAACCAATTGATTTGAGTAAAATAGATAATTAATACATTTTATAGTTGAGTGTGTGTGTGTGTGTTGCTATGTGAAGTATTAAAAGGGTATTAAAAAGCATTGAGAATCTGCAGCAACCCTGTAAAAGGTGGCTGAAGTAATGTTTGTTTAATCACTGTATTGAAAATGATCATGTTTGTTGAAAAAATGTGTGTTGTTAAAGTAGAAAAGTAGATTTAAAGGCAGAATAACAGCTTTTAATTGCCTCAGCATTAAAGGATTAACACGTTATTGCCGTACATGCTGATGAACAGCCCTTTTGCTGAAAACAGCCTACACCCTACTTTTCTCATAATGAAAGAATTTGAGGAACGTCTGGGAACTTAAAAACATGCATTCCATAGCCTTGAACATCATAGGACACAGAGGGCGTTTATACAGATGGTCTGGAATGTAGGTGATGTCCAGGAGCTATATAGGTTATTGCTGGGAAAATACAGGGCCAACTTGCAGGCTTTGTGTGCCACATTCCAATAGTAGCAGGTTAGCAAAGGAGTGGTGTGGTACAGTCTGGAAATAAGGGAGGGAGGAATGTTCTAAAACTGTTCCTAGAAAATGTCTGCAAGTGGCAACATGGATTACTCACTAAATTCCAATAATTAGATGTCAATATGTGAAGTATAAACAAGCATGTTTTCAACAGGGGAGGAAAATTCCTACACATTTATTGAGTAACTGAGTTACTTTTCTGTAGATCCTCAGTCATAATCTGCAGTAACACAACATGGTGGTAGTGTGTTAGTGTGTGTGTACCTGCTTTGTGAGGGTCCATGGGGGTCCTGACCACTGAAGAACAGGGTAAAAGGGGGCTAACAAAGTATGCAGAGAAACAGATGGACTACAGTCTGTAACTGTAGAACTACAAAGTGCACCTATATAGTAAGTGGAGCTGATAAAATGGACAATGAGCGTAGAAACAAGGACATAATGTCATAATGTTATGCCTGATCGGGGTATGTATTTGTAGTAATCATACTAATTACTTAATGAATCTGAAATGTATTTTTACTGTATTTGACAGTTAATGTTAACCAGCTAAACAGCCTATCACACAGTTAAAGAAACAAAAACAAAGCCAGAGAGAGGCTGAGAGCAGAGCCCAAAGTCTCTGATGATGTAATATCATCTGTAAGATATGGTAATTTCACTGTTTTTTTCCAGTCAGACAGAACAATGACCTCAGTATTACAGCACAATGCTTTTTAAACTCTGAGTGATGCCCTAGTTTCTCTAATGGTTCCTTGTTCATGTGAGGTAATCTCTGTTTTGTCTGTGTATAGTGTGCGTGTAACAAATGAACTTCCTCCTCCATCGCGGTCTGAGCAGATTACTATTTTTGCCCGTAGGATTGAAAAACAACTGAAAGTGAAAAGCAAGTCTGAGATGTACTGTGCAGTGAGTTTACAGGGAAGTTATATTAGACAAAGTTCCCTGAGTCACAGCCTTATACGGCCGTTTATCTCCAAGATCGCGACCAATCCACGTGGGTGACACCCCTGTTAAGTGAAGTAGGTAGTTGACAGGCACTTGTAATAAAACAGTTTTTAATTTTAGAAAAAGCAACGCCTAAAAAAATAAATATTACATATATAATAAATTTAATAAATAGTTATCTTTTTTTTTAATAAATAGTTATCTTTCCAAAGTTTTATAATTTTATCATGTCGTATAACTTTAACTGGACATTTGTCTAATTGGTTTATGAGCTGATATGCTCATAATTTATAACACATTACAAAAAAAATTAAGTAATAAAGCAAAAGTACTTTATTAAAAATGTACTCAGGTAAAAGTATTATGATTTAATTATGCTCTAAAAAGTACCAGAGAAAAATGTACTCAATTACAGTAATGAGAGTAAATGTAATTCATAACTGTCCACCTCTACAGTAATTGTTCTTTGCCTACAGTAAAATGACAAATTCTAAGGTAACGAATTCCAAATATACTGGCTCTATTTCACTGGATGAGTCATATGGGAAATATGAGGCAGGGTTAAATTAACTTCATACTGGTGCTGAACACAACTGGTAAAATTCAATATCACCACAGTATCAGATGACATTTACATTTGCATTAATAAACAGGATCTGTTTGTTTTTGTGTGGACTGTTCTTTCAAAGCAGTTGGAAGCATGCAGCAAATAACATTTTTTATACTTCAATAAGTTTCTGTCATCTTTTAAAACAGCTAAAACAAACAATATCATTATGTGGCATCAATCCTAGAATAGATTACTTATTGCTCGGGTCATGTAACTATTTCATTTTCTGAGTTTGGGGATTCCCTCTCTCTCACTGCACTGCAGGACACAGAAGGAGCTGACTGCACGAGAGAAGGAGAAGGAGGAGCAACACCGGCAGCAGGTCCTCCGTCACGCTGAGGGCGTACGGCAGCAGATCCGCGAGCGTGAGATGCTGGCCATCGCCCGCCGCAGGGAGCTGTTCCGCGAGGGGGAGAAACTGGACGAGGAGGCACGGAGCTGCAGAGTTCGACTGGACGAGATCAAGGACAAGAAACTGAAGGAGCTAAGGTGAGTCCCAAATGGGTCAATACACTTAAAATAAGTAGAAGTAGAATTACTGTCAGAAATGAGATCCTGAACAAGGGTGATAAACTGAAATTTAATGGGATGTTTTTGGGTGTAACTCCGAGTGGTGGCGCTACATTTCAGGTCTTGCACTCTATTAAGGGTGTTCAAACTCCTCCTTTCTTGTCTCGGTCTAGAATCTGTGCTCAGTATTTTGGATGTGCCATGCTTTATACAGGGAGATTCACTCGAAAGAGGCCCCGAATATTCTGTAAAAACTCTCTCTAGGACGAAGCAATCTAAATGAAACAACGTGCAATGTGCTCCTCAGTTTATGGAGCTTCGTACAAGCCGGGATGCCCCTGCGTCGGAGCGATGAGGTAGGCGCCGGACAGCCGTTGCGAAGTTTAACCTCTGTTTGCAACTCCCGGGTGCAGACCCCCGTACCCCTTCATGTGTCTGGCAGAAAACGGAGATCACTTATAGCATCGCATGTAACGCAATCGTTTACTCATACATCACGGTATGTAGCGTGTTTTTTGGTTCAGATTGCTTCAACCTAACGGGAGTTGCAGCAGAATATTGAGGGCCTCTTTCGAGTGAATCTCCCTGTATATCTGGAGAAAAACGTTATGCCGCTTAAGCAGTTACGTATAATTATTTAAGTTTTATTGAGTCGCTTTAAGTCGCTTGTCTCTATGGAAATATCCCTGAATGAGGACTTGGGTAGTCCAGTAAAAGGCCACCGTAAATGGTGGCTTGCGTTTCAAAAGATGTGAAAATTTTGTAGCTGATACTAATTTTAAAGGACTAAAAATTTCACTAGCTGATAATATCAGCCAATATTTGTTTTAGATTGTAATATTATTCTCTAGTAGTATTATTTAGCAGTGCTTTACTAAAAAATAGGATTGTCCCCATAACCACATAAAATCACAACAACTGCTGTTTGAGATACAGGCAGTGTTTCTGCTCAGGACTCGGAGGCGCAGCATGTTGTTTTGAATGAAGCAGCTCTTTTGTAGACAGAGCCTGTAGGGACTGCGTTTCATGTGCAGCATGAGCACCCATTTCGCGGCATGTCAGTCGGAGTGTTTTTGTACGGTTTGAGTTATGTACATTGCAGATTTTGTTCGTACACGATGACCGATTCAAACACATGGTGTGAGTCACCAAAGAACAAGATTTCTGAAATCGCACAGTATCTGCCTGGCTTTAGAGGGCCTCGGTCCACTTATGTGGTGCGCACCAGAGTTTAGATGGCAGCATTCTGTAATGAACCAACTAACAGAGCAATCGCACTGGAGTTCATTTTAAATTTACAGTTGCATTATGAAATTTGGTTACTGGTTAATGTGTATTGTCCTTAAATAAACAAATAAAGTTAGTCAGAAATATGCTTAAATTATGTGTCCAAGCATTTATTTGTAGAAACAGACAAGTATAGTCTTAACTATAATTCACATGCAGAAAGAAATTGATTGTTAGCTAATATCTTAGAGAGACAGCCCTAGTATCTGTAAACTTAAATATAGCAGGCATGTAAAACCACGTGAGACATTTAAAAAAAAATGACATCAGATGTACTTGCCGACACTTTTGCCACAAAGTATAAATGTATAAACAGAAACATCCTACTATGAAACCTATCTGAATCTGAACTTTTTAGTCACCATAACTTCTTTTAGGACTGTATTTAGAACAGTAGCCATCACAGAATACCAGTTCCTAACTTCAAAAAATATCCTAACGTCAGATAAAACATCCCAACTAGACAACATTTCCTAATTACTGCTCCAGCTTTAGGACAAGGGGCGTACCAACTTCTGTTTTGACCTTTCGTTTCTATTGTTTGACATTCTGTTGAAAATACAATAATATTTTTTTAGGCAGATGTAACGGGCAGCATAACAAGTTCACTATACCTGGCACAATAGCTTTCTATTCATTCTTAGGAAAACAGTGGTTTCACTTCACTATTACCTTGTTGGTCCACCCTGTAGATGTAAAGTCAGAGACAGTAGCTCATATGTCAGCGTAGTTTGTATTGGTCATCCTCTAGTCCTGCATCAGTGGTCACAGGATGCTGCCCACAGGACGCTGTTGGCTGGATATTTTTGGTTGTTGGACTATTCTCAGTCCAGCAGTGACACTGAGGTGTTTAAAAACTCCAGCAGCACTGCTGTGTCTGATCCACTCATACCAGCACAACACACACTAACACACCACCACCACATGCAGTGCTGAGAATGATCCACCACCCAAATAGTACCTGCTCTGTGAGGGTCCATGGGGGTCCTGACCACTGAAGAACAGGGTAAAAGGGGGCTAACAAAGTATGCAGAGAAACAGATGGACTACAGTCTGTAATTGTAGAACTACAAAGTGCACCTATATAGTAAGTGGAGCTGATAAAATGGACAATTAGTGTAGAAACAAGGAGGTGGTCATAATGTTATGCCTGATCGGTGTCTAATACAAGTAGTCATACATAATGAAATCCTTACAGGGCAACCGGTACTATGAAAGAGCCTCAGGGAAAAAATTCTGTGATGCTATTTAGGAGAAAAACATTTACTCCTTCAAAGTGTTGCTCCCATCCTGCCAGTGCCTGCCAGAGTCATGCACTTGTACACGTACCTTTAATAACTCACCTGCCTAAACATGCATTCTATCACTGTCATATGTCTGCAGGCATGATGAAACCACCCCATCAATAATTCCATCCTTAGTATGATGAAAAACAAAAGACGCTGAGTTGAACCTTCTGACCTCCTGACTGCCGAAAGCACTTAACCAGTTCTTTCAGTGATTTCAAAATTCCTATTTGACCGTTTTCAGTGGAAAACAGTACAAAGACAGGAAGTTTAAAGTAATTAACCAAATTCTTTGTATATAAAAGATTAAAACGTTTAATTTGTCAGCTAAAGTATTAGAGAGGACAGCCCTAGTATCTGCAAACTTAATCAATTTAGCAGACATGTGACACCACATGGGACATTTAATGTCTAGGGGTCAACCGATATGTTTTTTTCAGGGCTCGATACCAATTATTAGTAATCAAAGATGCTGATAACTGATATTAGGCAGTTTGCCTTTTCAGGATATGGATGCAAACAGTGGAAACAGCTCGTTTAGCCTAAGCAGATTAGAGGTATCTTTGGAAGAAGTGAGCTTCAGTCATCTGTACTTTTAACGAGTGAAAATAGAAATAAAAATGACTAGAAATTATGTATATAATTTAATATTATTAAATGTAAAACGACACGTTATGATTTTATGATATGTCTGTATAGTTGGCCGTTAAGATCCACTGTAGGCTTACACATCCCTGAAAGCTTTCAAACTCCTACAGCAGCAGTCTGGGTCTGCACAGCGTGTCTTTTCCCACACACAGAAACTACACTCTTACCAGACGGGATGTTTCAGGCAGGGCTTGAGCTGCATGTACGAATCACGTCTGTCTGGCTAGAGGGAGTGAAATTCTATGACTGAGCTTTGCCAGCTAAGTTGTTCACCTCTAAAATGTTTTTACCTTTTTCTCACGCTGTGGGAGCAAAGCAGGCACTGCTTCATTCCCTCCTGCGTCTCTCACAAAACTGGAAAGCACGTTTGATTGGAGTTTCTCGACATGGAGCAGGACATAGAGACAGACTACAGGAGTGCTGGTTGGTTGTACTCCAGGCGTCATCCATATTTCAAGCAATCCAGCAGCCCTGTAGGCGGGACATTGGGCCAGACTACAGAAGTGTGTTTTGCTGATGAGTAGGGGTGGGAATCTCTAGGCATCTCACGATTCGATTACGATTCAGAGGCTGCGATGCGATTATAAAATGATTATCGGTGCATCTTTTTTTCTATACAGGATTTCTATTTTCTCACTGTGTGAGGACTTGGTACTTTTAAAGCAAAGTATTTGTAATGATTTGTATTAATTTTATTAATAAAACAAATGGAAGTGATGTGGCAACTGGAAGGCTCTCATTCACTGCAGTTGGTTTCCTGGTATGTTAAATCTGCAACGAGTGACTGTCAAACACTAAAAAGTTGCAAGATGAAGTCAGCTTCTCTTCCAAATTCTCCTGTTCCACCTTAAAGGATGCCGTATTTACATTCTAGCACCTCAGACAGAATTTAAGATGGAACGGGAAAATTCGAACAAGAAGCTGGTGAATGAGAAGTGACTTCAGCCTCGTAAAACAGCCGAAAGCTGAGAGACATTTTACAATAAACTATTCAACTTTTGAGGAAAGGTTTTCTGGCGGAGATGGAAGAAAAGCGGCTGTAGGCGAAGCTTAAAGCAGAGCAAAGTAAGTCAGCGTTTTCGTGTATATTGTTTAGCCTATACTAGGACATTATCACATACTGAGACAAACTGGACATTAAATGTTGTGGCTCCCAAAGTGGTTTGATTTTTGTTGAAAGGACAAAATGGCTCTTCTTAACATTTGTGTTGTGACTCCTGACCTAACCTAGCTTTTAATGCAGAGGGAGCCGGTCGGATTTCTCGCTCATCCAGCTGTGTTTTTGCTGTGTGCGACCGCAGACTGTCTGGGCGCTGCACTTACCCACTTCCAAGTTCCGTCTTTTGCGTTCCGTCAACATCACGTTAGAAATTAAATATTTAGAAAATCGATTTTTGACATTTGTGAATTGATTCAGAATCGTCCAGGTCTGCATCGCGATGCATCTAAGAATCGATTTTTTCCCGCACCCCTAGAAGATGGTGTTAAATGCAGGTGTATTTATGTACCCTCGACCGTTTTCTAGCTTGTGATTGAGCCGTTTTTCGTTTATTAATGGCCGTAAATTCTATAATTCATGAAATAAAGTATGTAGTGTCTTGTCCATGCATTCAATAAATATCGTAAGAATGAATCATATTAGCCACGTTTACATGCAGCCTAATAATCCGTCAATAATCCGACTAATAGCTCAATCGGAATAGAATACGTCCATCTATACACTTCAATCAGAATAGCTTAGTCCGATTGAGGCCATTT